GTCGCTTTGCAATAGATGGTATTTTTCTATTCTCTTTGTAGTTTATGTTTTTATTAGATTATTGGCGTTTTTCCTATAAACAGATCCACAGAGCTTTGTAGCAATTAGCATATGCTTTTTTACGTATTTATTTCTACTTAATTATGATTTCCCTTAGTTAGGGTAAGGCTTACAATCTGTTGTATGAAATTAAGTAATCAACTTAATCATAAGTTATTGCCTTGCTTTAACCTTGCAAATCCGTTAATTGTGATTGGTAACACATAATTGCAACTTTTTCATTTGAGTCCATGTTATAGTGTCATTTAGATGTCTTTGCAGTTATAGTTCTAAGGGGCCTCATTGCTCACCATCTACATATGATCTCGTTCTAGTCAACATGTATTAATTCCAAAAAATTTCACGCATTTAAAATGTTTACATTTATCCAAATATAATGGTTTGATGACCAACCCATGTACTAACTTGACATCAGCCTATCTAGATGTTGACTCGGCTCTATTGGAGCAAATTCAACTTGACCTAGTGAGTCACTCAGGTCAAAAGACAAATAAAATTCATTGATTTATGTCTCTTCATTTCCTAATGAAAGTTCGATGGAGGATGTTAAGCCTTATTGAATTATCCCTAGGCACACCAAGAGGGGCTGAATTGGTTGTTTTAAAAATTTTCTTTAACACAAAATAATTTTTTTTGAGATTTTTCAATAACTTAAAACAAACAATTATCACCCGATGTGGAAGCAAATTAATGGAATAAAAATATAACAATGGTGATGATGAGTTACTCAATCAATATATCATCAAACATAAATTTTTTCAAACATGCAATTTTCAGGAAAAATAAATCGCAGAAAAGTAAAATACAGAAAGTAAAAATCAGAATGAATATGTTAGACTAACCCATTGGACCGGTCTAGTCAGTCCACATGGGACCGAACGAGGCAGAAGATAGGCGGAAGTTTCGCCTCTCCTGCATATGCCGATCGGACCGCAGAATCCAAGGGAGCATTTTAAGTTTTGGGCTGAAATTTGAGATATCTTAAGTTTAGGTCTTTTTGGGCTCTAGCGGCATCTAAAGATTTGGTAGAGATAAATCCTCCTCTCGAATTGAGGATCGTCTATATCTTGGTATTTTCTTGCCATATCTTTTATTATTGCAATAAAAATTATGATTTTTCTGGTTTGCATTAGAGTTTTTTCGCTGTTTTTCCAAAATTGATAGGATTTACTTGAAATCTTCAAGTGTTTCCTATCAAAATGATATCAGAGTAATTTCCTGGCTGAAATAGAAATCTTTCTCGCTGATTTCTGTTGCATTTTCCTCTTTGATCTTGTTGTTTTTGTTGTTTGGGAGGCCAAATTTGTGTCAAACTTGTTGATCTTTGCTATTGGAGCCTAAATCTAGGTTCCCATGATTGGAAGAAAGGTGAAAGTATTGGAAGGGGAGATCGGACAAATGAAATATGCAATTTCAGATCTCAAAACTCAAGTTTCCTTTCTTATACTTATTTGGTACCAGTGGAGGGACATGCGATGACCCATACAGAGTTGGAGTTCATGGATTGTTTGGTAGAATGTTTCCGAACTGGCAGGGGAGGAAACTTCTATGAGCAGTTCTTTGCCTTGACACATGATGATTCAGTGATGTAATACTGGGAGAGATTCGAGTACATTGCTAGCCGATTGGACCGCTTTCCTGAGACAGTGCTAGAGGAAAATTTCATGAATGGACTGACACCAGAGATTCGGGCAATAGTTAGAATAATAAGGCCTTGTTACTTGAGTGAGGCGATGGAACTAGCTCAGTTGATGGAGGATTAGAGACACATGGAGAGAGGGACGGGAGGCAACAACTTAGGAGGCTTATACAGGATGACCACCATCTTGTTGGCATCTAAGGAGCCAACACCAGATATTCTTTGGGGGTCTTCTAAGGAAAAGACTGCATGAGAAAGACCTAAGGGAAACATCAAGAAGCTCACATAAACATAATTACAGGAGAAGAGTAGGGCTGCAAACGAACCGAGCCGAGCCGAGTATGTGAGTGTTCATGTTTGTGTTCATTTAATATCAGCTTGTTCAAGTTTGGTTCATGTTTGTTCGAGCTTTAGCATTTGTGTTCATGTTTGGTTCATTTAAATTAAGGAGTGTTCATGTTCGGTTCATGTTCAGTTCATGTTCGTTCGTTTAGTGTTTATCGAGCTTGTTCGCGAACATATTTAACGAATTTTTTTAACTATCAAACAAACACGTTCATGAACATATCTATGAACAAACACATTTATAATAAAAATAATTGTCTATATAACAAAGGTAATGATTATTTATATTTATTAATTCTATATTTAAATATTAATTATTTTTATCGAGCTTATTCATGAGTTCAAAATCGAACACGAATCGAGCTTCTTATCGAGTTTAATGTCAATCTTGTTCACGAACTTCAAATGATGTTGTTCGCGAACATAAATGAGCCGAATGCATTAGTGTTCAAGTTTGTTTATTTAAGAATCGAGTATTTAAAATATTGTTCAAGTTTGTTTGTTTAGTTAATTAAACGATCTCAAACGAGCTTTAATCGAACCGAACATCGAGTAGCTCGTCGAACGTTTGGTTCGCTTGCAGCCCTAGAGAAGAGGGTGAAGGGGCTCTGTTTCAGATGTGACGAGAAGTATATTCCGGGGCACAGGTATAAGGACCGAACTCTTCAGGTTCTTACCGTTTGTGATGACGAGGGAATGGAGGAAGTTATTGTCTTTACACCTTACGGATAAGGTAGATCTTTGGGAGTGGAGCAATGGACCGTTGTATCTGGTCCACATGAGATCGGCCTAGGCGGAACAGAGGTGTTGACCCCTAAAGAAAAAAATAATAATAACAAAAAAATGATATAAAAGTCATCATCTGCACGTCGTTTGTCGATGTTCCAACCCATACCCGTCGCATGCAGTGCCCGTACTCTGTAAACGACGCCGTTCGGGTCTATTTCCATGATTTATGAATAGAGATTGGATCTTCAACGCCTACCTACGGTAATAAAACGAAGAGTGAGCCCTCCTCTTCGATCCTTCCACGCGATCAAAGTCTCGCTAGCCTTCTCATGCGCGAGGCTCTAGTGCCTTCCGATTCGAGTCATCTTCTCAATCCCGCAAGCCCCTCCACAGAACTCCCGAACTGCCCCTCTCTTCCGCCTCCTACCAACTCCGATCAACTCAAGGCCTCAAACCCACACCCGATTCTTAAGCACTTGTCTTGATCCATCCAGTAGAAGCTGATCTACTGTGTCGATCCAGAGGACTCAAGCCGCAATCCTCCGTCGGATCCCACATCTGATTTCCTCCATCTAACTGAACTCC